GTTACTGGGTGTTAGTGTAATTATAATCATGAACATGCAACCACCTTGAACACATACGTTCTCCCCTGGGCTTCTGGGCTGCTGTGAGCATGGTTGCTGGTTTAGAGGCTGTGCCTATTCTGCCCTCTTCCTGGCTCCTCTAGTTCTCTCTGCCCGAGTCATGCCTTCCGTAGCCAAGCCTGTATAATTCTACACCAAATATTCCAAATATGGGGACTGAAAGCCTCAGCTGAATGATTTAGAACAGTCACTTAACGTCTCGAAAATTCTGTCTTCCCATGTGAAAAATGTGTGTGATAATCCTGGGAGCCATGTACCTAGTTTGCAGAGCTGTTCAGACCTTAGCCGTTCTCTGCCCTCCCTACCCTTGCGTCCGAGTCCCACCTTTTATTGAAACCAGCACCTGGGTCTGTTTTCGCTGACAGCCATGTGGCCTCAATTTGAGGTGTGTGACATGGGAGGGCCAGGATCTCAACCTCTGCCCCATCTACATTCCATCAGCCCCTCCAGCACCTGTAGCCAACCTCTCCTTTCAAAGCTCAACCCCCTTCCTTGAGGTTTCTTCTCCACCCTGCACTTTCTCTTGTGGATTGATGAGGCAGGTTCAATTTTCACCTGATCTACATAATCCCCTATGAGCACTGGATGGTCCAATCCCTCTGAGGGCTTTTCACTCTTCCAGGTCATTCCTGGTGCCACTCAGGAACGTTCCTTCTCAGCTTCATAAACACTATCCTTTCCCTCCCCAATAATTAGTGGTAAGCCTCATAATTTAGAACTCAGGGTCTGAAATTAGGCAAATATGAGCTAGAATGCTAACTCTGCTACTTCCAGCTGTGTGACATTGGGCAAGTCTAACCTCTAAATTCACTTTCTTCATCTGTCAAATGGGGCAATAATATAATTATTGTGTTACAGCCAATAGCTGTAAGTATGTTGCCCAGCATATAGTAAGTGCTCAATAAATGTCAGGTAGCTGCTCTCTTATGATTTTCATGATCATCCTCATCTTCATTACCACCATCACTACCAATTTCTACATCTGCATTATCAAAGCTACCCAAGTACAGAGTGTTAAGGTAACTGTATACACAATATCAGACAGTATAGCACCATACAATACTGTATATACCACCTGTTCTCCAGGGCTTTAGGGAAATACTATATCCACCAATTTCTTTTCTTTTTTTTTTTTTTTTTTTGAGATGGAGTCTCACTGTGTTGCCCAGGCTGGACTGCAGTGGTGCAATCTCTGCTCACTACAACCTCCGCCTACTGGGTTCAAGCAATTCTCTTGCCTCAGCCTCCCGAGTAGCTGGGATTATAGGCGCCCTCCACCACATCCAGTTAAATTTTTGTATTTTTGGTAGAGACAGGGTTTCACTATGTTGGTCAGGCTGGTATTGAACTCCTGACCTTGTGATCCACCCACCTCGGCCTCCCAAAGTACTGGGATTACAGGCGTGCGCCACCATGCCCGGCCTATATCCACCAAAAATTAAAGGAAGTGAACAAGTCACTTAATCTCTCTAGGCCTACATCTCCTCATCTGAAAGGAGAGAACACTGGATGAACTAACAGTTCGTGTTTCTGAATGTTGTCTCTAAGGATCAGGCTGATAAATCTGTGGTCTTATTTCACCTTCCACTGGGAAGTTGGGACAAATCCTACCGCCTTCCAAGCTGACTCTTTGTTGAAAACTATGCTTCCAATAAAAAAAATTCCCTATTCTCATAAAAGCCAGGTTTGTCTTCATTCTTCAAACCAATTCCTGAGGCTTATCCTGTGAGATAAGGATTTTTATGTCAAAGAAATGAGTCACATCTGAGAAAAGTGAAATAAACTGGATACCTTCCCTTACCTCCAGCAAAGTCAAACAGCTGAAAGTCTGAATATCCAGAGCATTCAGGTAATTAGGAAAAAAAGCAAGGGAGTAAAAACCTGAAATTTCCAGATGTGACATGATCATTGTTTGACAATTTTAAATTAAATTTTAAATTTTTGTTGTAAGAGACAGAAAGGGATATCTTCATTCAGCAACTCTGCAATTAGACTTACTTGAACCAATTTCTTTTCCTGGTTTACACAAAATGACACTTCCTCTAGTACAAGGATTGCAGAAAACCTCAACAGTAAATAGGCAGGCTCACAAGTCTCTAGATTAAAATGCAGTTATAACATTTTCTCAAAATATTCACATGAACTGCGAGCACAAGATTCAACCCGTAAAATACTGAAGGAAAGTCTTTATCCATAAAATTCTCTTAGAAAATTTAGACAGAAAATCTGAATTTACATAAGGAACTCTGCAACCAAAGAACCACCCTTTTGTCCTGATTTTGAAAATGCTGATTATTTGAGAGCAAAAAATATGTATCCGTAAAGGGGGGTTCCAGTAGGATGAATCTGGTATGGCAATGACCACTTATTGCCTACTCATCTCTTTGCTGCCTTTCCTTTGATGGTGTGACCCGTATTTTATTTGCCCTCAGAGAAAGCGCATAAATCCCAATTGGTCCAAGCCATTCACGGTAATTTACGGCCCACTGTAGGATTACTGGCGTGATTCATTCTGTCCAGCAAACCACTGACAAGGGGCAGTCTGTTCTAGAGCTTCTTGGAAAGCTTCTTCACACCTACAAAGACAAGAAAACGGTGTCTTGCTGGTGTCTCTGGAGACTGTCATGCCGAGATGCAATGCCTGAATCTGTGGCAGCCATATTTTGACCACGAGGAGACTACTCTGACATGCTAAGGATGACCACAAACAACTTGGATCCTTGACAAGGCCACCCAGCTCCTCAACTCACTAACCTGGGAATCACCTGTCCTTGTACCTAAAAAAAACATGTTTAAGCTATTTGGATTTGAAATCTCTATTACTTGTAGCCCCAGATATCTAAAGTAATAGAGTTGACCCAGTGGAAAAATATACGAGAAAAACCTAGTTATTATTAGACATGCCTTCCAAAAGTCATCCAGAACAGAATTGTTCTGCTTCACCCATATGACACAATATAAAGGCAATACGTTTTAAGAATCTGGTAGTTTGATCAACATGGACATCTATCCTTCCTGGAGCTTTTCATAACTTTCCTGGATACTTCCACACTGAACAGACAATGCCTTAATTATTTCCATATGTTGGACTCTACAATCTGTAAAATGGGGATTTAGGAACAAGACTTTCAAACTATATATGCATATGAGAAGGATTAAAAAAAATAGTAACAAAATCTGGTTTTTAAAAAACGCCAGGAACATTATTAGAAATAAAAGTTCAAAATCATGACCTGAGTTCCCAAAGTTTAAAAATTCCTCAAGGGTTTAAAGCAAAACTGATGATTAACAGATTTTTATCAATTCTACTCAAGCAGAACAAGAACAAGCATTGGAATTCCTTCTAATTCAAAGCCCACTGAATTAAAAAAAACTCCCCCAAAAGCAAGTCTTATTTATCTGCCAGACATGATTCAGAGAACTCTACACATATTGAAGTATAAACCTGGTTCATTTGTAAAAATGTCCTTTCATAATAATTCTCAAACCTCAAACAGCCTTCCTCTAGTCCATTTTCTGCTGTTGGAACATAGACACTCAAAGATCAGCTTAGTCTTTTAAACTTAGCTTCTATCTCCCTTCCAAACACGTTAACAAAGGGTGTCTGCTGTGTCAGGCACCACCCTAGGGCAACAGAAATACAACGATGGGGTCCTTGCCTTCATGGAGTTTATGTGTTTTTGTTCTTATGCTGGAAACAGACTCATCAATAAAATTAAATAATAATTACCAGTTGAAAACCCAAGAAATAAAACTAGTGGCTAATGCAATAATGAAATAAATAAGGAGTTGAAGGGAAACCAGAGGTGGGAAAAACAGTTTAACTTCCAATAGAGAAATCAGACATGGCTTCCTTTGATAGGTAACAGACAAGCTACAAAGATAGGGGATTAGGGATAAGAAGGAGCCAGTCAAGGGAGGAGCCATGTGAAGCCAGGAGTCAAAAATAAATGGCTTCTTGGACCAAAGCCACAAAGCCACCTCAGGGATCTCATCTGTAAAATGGTGCAGATCATCACTAACCTGCCCATCTCCCCAGAGCTAGATATGATAATGAACAGGAAAGTCTTTTTTTAAATCAAGGTTAAAAGCCCTACAGTTATGTGCTTTTATTATAAATCTTTCCCTAAAAAAACAGGCGGCTTGAGTTGCTACAAAAATAGACACTCATTGCTGTCATATGTTTCATACTGCATCTCTCAAGCAGTAAAATTAAAACTAGTTTTGACTTGAGAAGTTTTATAGCCTTTGAGATACCTGGAGATCCAAAGGGCTATCTCTAAACCACAGCTGAGAGTCGCTCTCCTGCAGAACTGTGGTAAATGCATGTCATTACTATAATGATCAACACAAATACACACCAAAACTACCTTCCAAATATCACCCACGTGAGACAGACCGATGTCAGCAGGGGATTCCCGGGCAACTCTTTTGATATGGTAGCACATGGCAGCAGAGGCAGCTTGGGACTTGTTGGCCAACAACCAAACTCTGTTTGTGGTATACTCTTTTTATATAGCCCTACCTTCTAATACATGGTATTTGCTACACGATTATCTAAAAATTAAATAATCAGCCATAGCACTAGGAGGAAAGTAAAATCCTGGGATTAAAACAGGTGATGTGCATATCCCAGGGCAACACAGTAGCCCAGGTTTATGCTGTAACTGTTTCTCTTTGATTAGCAAAAGCCAGACCTACAGTCTTTAAGACAGATTCGCACTGTAGCAGGGGAAGGATAACTGAAATGATAGAGCCTTGCTGAAATTCTTGTTCTGCCCGTTCTCTCCCAGGACGCAGGTATCATTATTCCCATTTCCAGATGAAAAAACTGAGGTCTTATGAAGTAAAACAACTGGCCCAAAGTACGTGCTGCAGCTAAAGTTTGAACCCAGCTCACCTATTCTAAATCATACACCCCTTTTATCACATTGCCTCACCTGGTTAATCATGTTTGATTCTTCTTTACTCTTTGATTCATCAGGAGTAATCAGATTTCTGAAGGTCCTTCATAAATACTTCAGTCTGCAAAGATGAACAAGAGGAGCCCGAAGAACGTCGTATGAAATGAACACTGAGATTCTGAGATTCTCTCAAAACAGCCTCAGGTGAACCAGGAGAATAGGCAGCTTAATAATCTTTAGTGAGGAGGCTGGGAGGGAGGGGGCCACACGTGTGCCGCATACCTGTACAAGAGTACATATTTCCTGTCTCTTCCATGTCACGTTCTCTTAAGCCCCGAGGCTTCTACACTGGCAATTTGCACTGCACGGAATGCCTTTCTCCTCTTCTCTGCAATGAGATCAGCTGCTCCTCAGTGAAGCTTTCTCAGAAGCCTCCCACTCCCACACCCGCACACACACTGACAGACACACAGGACAGACAGCCCTGTGCCGAATCTCAGCCCTGTGGCAGGGTGTTCCCAGGAGCACTCCTCATTAGTCTGGGGTCTTCTCCAGGCAGGACCTGAGGTTACCTTTCTCTTCCTCCCCAGCGCTTAGCACAGTGCCTCGGTTCAAACATGCACTTACTGAGCCTGCCCATGGCCAAAGGGCCAGGCGCTGGGTTGGACTAGGGCTGGCAGTGGTGAAGAGAAGGAACTCTCGAGGGGTTGAGAACAGGGGCTCTGAGTGACCTGACATCTACCTGCTGTGCCATCGTGACCATCTCTTAAACCCTGTGCCTCGGTTTCATCAGCTGTAAATGGAAATGACAGTCCTGCTTGCCCCCTCACGGGGCTGTTTTTAGGATAAAAGGCAGGAGGCAGAGAGGAGTTGGGTGACACTAACTCCTGAGAGGGGGTGAGAAAATGATGTCATTTCAGCCTTTAGCCTTCTATTCCTTTCTGTTCTCTTACCCTGCTTCATTTTTCTTCCAACCACTTATACTACCCCGCTGACACATTATATATTTGGTCTCGCTTACTGCCTGGCTCTGCCCTACTAGGATTAAGCAGCACGAAGACAGGACTCTTGTTTTCTTCTCTGCTGTGTATTGGCACCAAGGACAACAATGGGCATGTAGAAGGTCTCAAGTATTCCTCAAATGCATGAATGAATGAATGAATGAGAAAACAAATAAATGAATGATGAAACAAACGAATACTGACTGACCAACTTATGAGGCATACATCTGGAAGAGACAACGGATGTTAACAAAATGCGAGACTATGAATTGCTATTTTATGGCAATAATTACAGGCATATTTCACTTGTTTTTGTACTGGCCAAAAAGTAAAGGCTGCATATGAATACAATTCTTGAATTTTGGTGTTACGCTATATGGCATAGGAGTCCTCACATCTGCACCCAACATATCCCCAGATATGTAATCAATGCGGCATTAACCCACACGCTCACTTACTGATGGGATTATGCATTCATAGAGTCCTCTAAAAGAGAAGGAATCCTCTCTAAGACAATCTATTGCTCCAAGGGACCGGCTGCTTAGATTCAGGTTTCCTCAAAAGCTAGCCCTTGATTTTGACTGATCCAGGAGCAGAGCCTTCCCATCTGCAATGAAGCATCAGTGGTGGCCCGTATGAGCCCCCATCCATGTGGCAATGTATCAAGTTTCCACCAGCACAGAGAACAGAGGAGGAGGAGGAGGAGGAGGAGGATGAAGGTGCCCAGGAGGTGCCCAGACTCTATAACCCCTCCCTGGACTCATGGCTTCCAAGAGGTTCCTAAAAAGTCTCTTAAGGTATTAGTTTTGTTCTTGCCCTTAACATCCTATAAACACATCTGCTTTTGTTTGCTCTCATCTACCTGGCCATGGGCAGAAGAAAACTTGTGCACAAGGTAAAGAGAAGAGAAAGATCGTGATTTTCATCACCATCATAGCTACCGTGAAAGCCCTACATTAAAAAGCATGATTATATGCTGCCCAGTGTATGGACTAAGTTTTTCAAGATTCAGTTTTACAAAAATATATCTTAACGATGCCTCCAAATGAGATTAAAACATTTCAGTCAACAACATACACACAATCTCAGTCCTACCACACTTTCTCTACTATGTTTTCCATAAACTACATGCCCTGGAGTGCTTTTATTTTTCCTGTTTTTAAAAGGTGTTTGTATCCCTTTTTTCTCAATATCCAGTGGTGAGAAAAGTGATTTATCACCTGCCACACTACTGCTACTCAGTATTCCCACCATAAATCGTGCCTTTGTGACAAAACCCTTATCTTAAAAAACAGATAGCATCAACCATTACCGCTTTTTATGTCAATGTCCTTTTATTTCAGAATGACTCTGTTTTCATTACAGATCCTTAAACATATTAGCAGAAGACACATTCGCAGCAAATGCTTTCAGTGAGGGGCAGTCCAGCTGTAGTCACATTCTCACTTCTAACAGGGGTAAAATCCTTAAGTAAACACGTTCCACAGGGGCTGTGCTAAAGTACATTTTTCAAAGACCAATGCCATTTGGTTGAAGTCAGCTCCAGAGGGCCACATACCTTTTCAATCAAAGCCGCAGCTGCCGGGGTGAGAGTCCTGCCCCCAGAGAAGAGCCTGGAGACCTCTACCTTTATCTCCCCTGAGCAGGCGGCCCTCACCTCATCAACAGACTGCTACAAAAGTTGATCTCTAAGACGGCTGCTCAGAACCGGAAGACCAGAAGCGGCAGTGCGACGGAAGCTGGTGTGGTCACAAATGTGTCCTGAGCACTGTTTTGAAAAAAACAGGAACATACTTTCCACTCACTCCAATTCTTGGGCTGCAATAGGGCAGGGTAAAGAATGGAACATGGCACTGGGTTTAGAAAAAATTTCCTAGGCGATTTCGTACTTAACTTGAGCAAGGGACAGTATGATACTTTTTAGAACTCTAACTAGGTTTGTGTCAACAAAATGTTGACTCAATGCGAAAAAGGTCTTAAAAATCATTTCATTTGGTATCTTTCTTTTAAAGAAAAGCAAGCTGGAGTGAATAGGTAGAATTCAGGTGTCCAAAGTCATTCTTGTTTCAAATTCCATGGTAAAAAATTGATAAAAATAAACCATTAAATCTGTTTGCCCAGGCTGTGAATTTGCTAAGTTTTGATCCATTTAATGTGTGGTCACACGGATTGATTTTCTTCCTTTATCTCTCATCCCTCTTTCAGAGATTTCAATAAGCTCTTCCAAAGTAACAAAGTTCATCTGGTTAAATTGCCAGCTGCTAACTCAGTTGTATGGAAATCCAATGCTGTGTTCTATTCTAGTGTACTCTTAAGTTGACATTAAAAAGTCCAGGCTCAATTCATCATAGCACTTAGAAATGTCATTAGCATCCATTGGTTCCTTGGAGTGTATTCCTCTTTCCTGGGCCTCAACACTTCACATGGATGTCAGAAAACCAAGCTATCTGGGGATCTCTGTGTGAACAACTCCCATAAATCACACTGTACATTCCGGCTGTCAGGGTGAATATAACTCAACCACAGTTGGTTGCGTCCTGTTTCCAAGCACACCTGAGTCACTGCAAGCAGTGGGACAGCAGTACAAAAAAGGAGCAACACTGCCCAGAGACAGCAACAAATCAGATACTCAGAGAAATAAGTACATCAAGCCAAGAGGGATGAGGCAGAGGGAGCAGCTTTACTTTGCAGGAGTGCCACCTCCCTTTTTCAATAAAAAAATGCAGATTCCCTCCTGCATTTGGGAAAACTATGCATATGTGTCATTTGGATTTCAATGGTTTAATGGGAAACTCGGAAAAAACTGCTGGAATTTTGAAAAGATAGCTCGTGGAGCGGTTAGGCTGGAAACCTGAGATAAAGTGAGAAAATACCACACAACTCATTAGCAAAAGGGACGTTTTCGGCTCTTGTGTGTCCCACAGTGTGCCGGAATTAAGGCTTATCTCAGAGCCTCTAGTAAGATACACAAGTTGGTTGTTGATAGTTGGCTGGAAACCAGGGGTGATCTGTTGAAATGCTGATCTGTCTTACCTGTCCCAAAGGCCTCTCTGAGGTCCTACAGTGACCCTCTCTGACAAGACAAGACCCCAGAACATATTAAGGTAGGACCCCAGAGCAGATTAACAGCTAGGCAAGATCTCCAGGGCCTTCAGTTGCCAGGGAAAGACACAGTACATACAAAGCACCCAGAATCATGTTTCTGTTACAGACTGCAGCAAGGGACAATCTGCAATGTGGTGTCTGGGAAGACAAGGAGGCAAAGTGAGGGGCAAAGTGTCCTCTAAGATGAAATCTAGCCACAAAGCCAGAGCTATATTTAAGCAGTAGAACTTTCTAGCAGGGGTTAACACACCTCAGTCACCAGGTCATATTTGTCCCACCACCTGTTTTATTAAATAAAGTTTTATTGGAACAAAGCCATGCTCATCCAGTCACCTATTGCTTATAACTGCGTTCACACTACAATGGCAGAGTTGAGGAGCTGCAACAGAGACTGTATGACCCCCAAAGCTGAAAACATTTACCATTTGGCTCTTTACAGGAAAAGTTTGCCAACCCCTGTTCTATGGGAATACCTCAGTGGTAAAAGGTTGAGTGTCAGAGATGGTTTTCATTTTTCCAAATCTATGCAAGTCCACCAAAAATACTTTATCAGGCTTTAAAAATAGCCACACACACAAATACGCGCGCGCGCGCACACACACTGTCCTTACCATAGTCAGCTCTAAACATTAACCCATGCTGTACCACTTTAAAAATATTCACAGCAAATATAGAAGAGTGCTTCTATCCCATTCAAGATAAGCTGGTCAAGTTTGCCTTGCCATAGATGCAAACTTCTAGCTGCCCAGAAAAGCATGCAGCTAGCCTCTTAGTACATTCTCTGGACATGAGTGGTTTGCAGGAGGAGAGAAGGCCTGACATTAAAAGAGCAAACACCCTTTATTCTAACATCACAGAGAAGTAACAGTTGTCAGGATTAATGAGGGGGCTCTAGCCCTGTCCGATATTTGACACTCAGCCTATAAAGGGAAAAAATGTCAAACATCAATTATCTTCTAAAGCTAAAGGCTGTCCTCTAAGTACACTCTAACCCCTCTCTTGGAGCCTCTTGACTGCTAATCTTCTCACCATCAAGAGAACTTGCCCCAGGATAAAACCAAACTGAGTACTTGACCATGCTAATTAGGCAGAGTGAGCTGGTATAGCTGAGAAGTCCTTTTTAGCCACTCCCCTCACAACACTTCTTTAAAAACAGAAATAAAGTCAATGAATTCAGTGGAACAAGCACTTTTTTTTTTGGGTGGGGGAGGGTGGGGAAATGGAGTCTCACTCTGTTGCCCAGGCTGGAGTGCACTGGTACAATCTCAGCTCACTGCAACCTCCAACTCCCATGTTCGAGCAATTCTCTTCCCGCAGCCTCCCAAGTAGCTGGGATTACAGGAGCCCACCACCACACCTGGCTAATTTTTGTATTTTTAGCAGAGATGGGGTTTCTCCATATTGGCCAGGCTGGTCTCGAACTCCTGACTTCAAGTGATTTACCCGTCTTGGCCTCCCAAAGTGGGAAGAAGCACTTTTAATATAGCAAAATAGCCAAAAGGCAGAAAACAGTATTGACTCAACCTAAAAGATAAGAAGGTGCTTTTTACAACAAATTCAACTTACTCCCTCATCTAGCCCCTTTCCGTCTCTGGCAGTTCAGCCTGTGCTAAACAATCCCGTCATTTACAGCACAGTCCTATTGGGGCATACTGTCAAATATAACCGAGTTTTATATCTCTCAGCTCACCAAAGGGCTGTGATAAGGTGTCATTCCTTTGAAGTGCTGTACAAGAGAGCAAAGTGATTTTTTTTTTAAATAAAAAAGTTAATAAGTTAATACATCAGAAAATCTCCAAGCTCTAAAGGAGTTCATGATTATCACAAAAATTGGTATTTCTGTAATTCAACATGATCGCCTAAAGAACTAATGAACATAAACGGCATTATACTGTACTGAAAAGGAAGAACGGGTTTATAGTTACACAGGTACTTCTTGAGAAAGTTCACAAATAACTACAGAGCAAATACAATATGTGTGCTGTTCACAGCTCACATCGGTGCCGGAACCTGAAAAACCATCCTTGCATGACCAACTCCACTGTGCTACCTTATCCTTCCCAGAGGGTTCGGAGACCCCATTTTCAAGGCAAATCTCCTTTCCAAACTAACATGTGCCACGAGCTCAGTGAAGCACCACACAAGAAGTTGTCCCAAAAATCCTCATCTCATCTTTTTCTCCCAGGAATTGATCAAACACAGTGACCTTCTCAAGTAGAAATGCGAGAAATGGCAGTCAAATTGAATAGAAAGTTAACTACCAAACTTCATAACGTTTACAGTTGGGACACAAATGTGAGTTGTGCTTAAAAAATAAATTGCTTACAGACAAATGTGAACTTTATTCGAGAAAGTTCAGGAGAAAGAGGAGGGCATTAGAAAGAACATGCATTGCATTGTAGAGAGGGCAAATAAAGACTGGGTCCAGTCCCAGCTCTGCAGCCATCAGATGACGGAATGGGAACAGGTCCTTCAGCTCTGTACGCCCCTGTTTTCTCATTAGACAAGTAGGAGACCGAATTAACTGATCCCTAAGTTTTAAAATTTTTCCTATGATTCTTTATGGTGATCCAACCAAGTTTTGCATATTCCCTAAGTAGTGAGCCTCTTAACAAATGTATATTTGACTGCCTAAACTTAGAGTCACATAATTTGAAAGTTCAGGAGAAATATCATGGAAAGAAAGAGAGAGAGGGGCAGAGGGATGAGGAAAGAAGGACAGGAGAAAAAGAGAAAAATCAAGCGAAGTCATCTTCAGTTATGTTGCTATCATTCTGCAGGGAGTTACTACATGTGGAAGAAATTACGCACATGTGTGCATATACACACACACACTGGTATAGGGAGCTGCCTATTTTCTTCCAACATCTTTCCTTTGCCCTCCCCTACCCCAAAATGAGGAAATGGGCTCTATCCAGTGTTAAGGATGGGAGAACACAGTCTAAATTGAGATGGATTAAAATAACAGTTTACATATATGAGAGGTGTTACCCAAAGCCAATCAAAACTAAGGCTGAAATAAAGCTGATATCTATATACGTGATATAGGCTGAGCGAAACTGCATCCTCAAGACCTAAGTTGCACTGTATCCCATAATCAATCCACAAGTCAAGACAACTGCTAGTGTTTCTAGGTTCCGGTGTGCCAAAGAAGAATGCCATAGCCTGACTTTAGCAGGGACTTTACATGTACTTTTTCTTTATGTATATAAAAAAAAAATCAGTGATCCCAGCTATATAAAAGGTAGAGAAACAAGTTTTCAGGGTGATGCAAGCAGAATTCTAAGTCCCCCCAAATACTAGGAAATTTATCTCTTCAAGACAAGCATTACCACCAAACACAAGTTTCTTAAAGAGCCTGGTGAAATCATCCAGCTTTTACCTTTTTCAATTTTGCACAATTGAACTCACTGTCCTAAATACACTTGATAGACATGAATATCTATCCTGTGTACTAAAAAAGTGGGATGTTACAGAACTGTCATCTTGCTGGTGTGTGTTACTCTACATTTAGAGTTACAAAGAAGTCAAAGTCTTAGAGATAAGTGAAATTTCTGGAGAAAGAGTGATGAGACTAAATTAAAGTTAAAAAAAAAGCACACATTAAATCAAGCACAACCCACATTCTCAAGACACTTATTTTCAATGCCTCTATTAGCACTGATTGCAGGGCTGTCAAAACATTCATTTTTGCTGACCTTAATCTGCAATGTGATGTGATGTTTTGGGACATGACTAAATTAATACTTTTCTAGATGGAGTCACTCGCTCATGCATAGTTGATGAATCATTCTATAAGAGGTCAATTTTCATTCATTCATTTTAGCAAAGAGGGTTTTTCCCAGCTTTCAAACCCAAATTCAGATCTTGGTATAATGTCTTTCCAAAAGCAACTTTTCAGAACAATGAATCTAGAGGAAAGCTTGATAAACCCAAGGGATGAGAAACCCTTACATGACTAGCTTCTGCTGTGAGTGGATCTCTGTAGAAAGTTCTACTCATGCTTCCTTTACTCACTTATGTTTTACATTGCAACACCACATGTATTCAGAGACGCAGATGTTTGTGATGACTAGGATTAATAAACAAGAGCCCTTGGTACTTGAGGAATCCACGCTGAGTGTATTGTGTGCCATATCTCATTTCCTCCCCCTACCAGAGAGCTTCCCTTTTTCCACCCTGCTCTCCGTCCCCAGGGAGGATACCTTGTATAGAATGGTTCTCTGGTCTCCCTCACTCCCTGGCTTCTAGCTGGTATCAGTCAATGGAGTACAGGAGAGGAAAACCAAGGGAGAGAGCAGAAATGCAGCCTAGATTTGGGTCCCGCCCCAAAGCTCCTTCCTGTGGGGTGACTCTTGATAGTGCTTTCTCCAGAGTGCACAGCTCCTGTCTAGACAGCCCCCTTCACAGACTGCCTTTCTTCTAGGTTCTGGTACCTCCTTCCACTCCTGCCCTTCAAGCCCAAGACCGGTCACAGCATTGCTACTAGCCCAGTTACTGCCCTATGCTCTTCTTCCTGTACCCCAGAGTTTAACAGACTATGGCCCCGGAGCCAGATCCAGCCCAAAGCCTGTTTTTGTGAATCATATTACTGGAAGACACACCTGTTTGTTTAGGTACTGTCCATGGTTGCTTTCCCTGTAGAGCAGCAGAGTTGAATAGCTGAAGCAAAAGCCACATGGCCTGCAAGGCTGAAAATATTTACCATCTGGCCCTTTACAGGAGAAGTTTGCCAACCTGTATCCTACACTCTTCTCATATCCTTGAAAATGGTCCTTTTACTAATCTCTCTGATGGATCCTATCTTAAGTGTGCCATTTGTTGACTCCTGGGATCCTTTATGGATGGTCCTTGACCATTCTTTCAAGGTACCTTTAGTTACTGTAACTGTTCCCATTACATAGGGGAAAAGGAAATTAGAACGAAATGTTTTGATGAAAAGGAAAGGGAGAATGAGTGACGAAAAGTAAAAGCCTGGCAAGAAGGGGTAGAGAGAGAGAGAGAGAGATATTGATTGGTTGATTTTATGGGTAAAGTGTTAAAAATCTGTCAGTACACTGGGGATCCACAGGATTTCTTTCTTATTTCAAAGATAAATTAATAGAGGCCATTAATCCAAGTTTGAGACCATTGAGGAGCCTGCCCCCTTTCTGCTTGGATATGAGAAATGTGAACATTTCAGTTAATGAAGCAGAAAGAGTTTAGGACAGAATTCTTTCTCCATTCTTGAACTGCTTGAAAAATTACACGGGCACTTGGTTTGCTAAAAGATTATTACATGGTTAAACACAGTTCCTCTTAGCCAGTCCCTACTCCCTAGACTTTGAAAATTACCTCAGTAATATCTGAAGAAAAAATTTTCCAAGGTGCACTGATTTTGCAAGGTCCTTGATTTGGTCTGAATGTTGGTGTCCCCATCAAATTTATACGTTTGACTCTAATACCCAATGTGATAGTAATTAAGAGGTGGGGTCTTGGGAAGGTGGTTAAGTCATGAGGGTTCTATCCTTGAGACTAGGATTACTGCCCTTTGAAAAGAGGCTCAAGGTAGCTCTCTTGCCGCTTTCACCATGTGAGGAGAAAGCAAGAAGGCACCATCTTTGATGCAGAGAGCCTTTACTAGACATTGAATATGTCAGCACCTTGACCTTGAACTTCCCAGCCTCCAGAACTACGAACAGTACATTTCTGTTGTTTATAAATTACTCAGTTTAAGGTATTTTATTATAACAACCTACATAGATAAATGGTAGTCCTACTCTGTGGGGTCTAAGACCAATAAACAGCTACTGCTAGATAATCATAAAGAGTAATCAATTTGAGTTACCAGTTATTTAGCATGTTAGATATGCCAAGGCCCTTACAAATACTTTACATTGTTTATTTATTTACAGATTCCAACAAACTTATTTTAAAAGTACTATTATGATTTCCATATTTTGGATAAGAACATGGAGGTGGATAGGTGTTGAGAATTAGCCCAAATTTCTAAACAACAGAGACTACACTTTAACCAGCTTTTCTGAATGTGGCACACTGCAAGTTGCCCCTGTGTAAGAGTGAATTTCACTGAGAAGCAAGAAGCTCGCCACTGAGGATCTGACTGTAATAAGGGCGCAACTCAGAGGTTATTTTGTAAATCACTGCACCATTGTTGAGGTTTGCTCCATGGGATCCATCCCATTAGGTATGGAGTGTGTGTGTGTG